ACAGTGGTTCACTTGTGATCCCTGTACTTTAGGCAGGTGGATCACCTGAGGTCAGGAGTTTGAGACCAGCCTGGCCAACATGGGTGAAACCCCATATTTACTAAAAAATACAAATATTGGCCAGGCGTGATGGTGACTATAGTCCCAGCTACTTGGGAGGCTAGGCTGAGGCAGGAGGCAGAGGTTGCAGTTAGCTGAGACTCCAGCCTGGGTGACCGAGGGAGACTCTGTGTCAAAAAAAACAAAAACAAAAACAAAAAAAACACTGTTGCAAGAAAAAAAAATTCTCCAGTTAACTCTGACCTTGCCTAAGGGGCTGTCCCCCATGACAGCTTCCCCAGAGCTCCCTGTGGCATCCCTTGCTCACACCTTTGGGCTCCCGGGCACATGCTGTGCTCTCTTTGGCAGTGTTCTCTCACTCCAGCAGGGAGGTCTGTGTTCTCCCCAAGGGCAGGATCTCTGCTTGGAACATAGTAGACTCTACAATTGGCTTAACTCTTTGTGCATCATCTCACTGGTCTGTTGAGGCTGCACTCTGGCTCCCTAAGTGTAATGAACATTTTGTGTGTTTAGGTAATCAGTATCTTTCGCCCTTTCTGTGTTTGATGCTATGTCCATTTTCTTAATCAAATATTGATATATAAATTATGGTTGTTAATAGAGTTCACTCATTATTTTGTTTCTTCAATGCAAAGAGAAAAAAATAACATTTTAACAAAACGTTTTTAAACATTGGCTTCTGGGTTGAAATTAAATGCCATCTTACTAAAAGAATACTGAATTCTAAAGACGATTTTATACGGTCTACAAGACTACCTTATGTAGATGGCTGCTTTTGAAACTTGGCTAGATTGAAGGGTTCTGTGGGTCTTCAGAGATTGTGATGGTGGTGCATTTATACTATTGAAGGGAGTGAGTTTTCACTGTGTGCGAGTGTGAAAATCAACCCTCTGGGGAGAACGACATATTTCTAACTTTCATTGTGGAAGAAAGAAACTGAATTTGGTGTAAATCTTGACATGTTCACGTTTGGCTTGTACCTGTGAGTTTCTATTTTGGATCTCATGGTCCTGGATCGGGGGAGGGTGATAAGTTCACAGGCTTTGCCTGATGGCTTGCCGCTGTGAGTTGTGTGCTAAAGGTCTAGTGTCTCCTCCCAAATCTGCTCCTGAGCCACACTCCACAACAGCTCCAACAACCCACAGGGAGTTATCTTTCTTCTGCACAGCAGGAATCCTAATACATCAAAATGTTTTTTATTTGAGACACAAAAATGCAAAATTGCTGAGATATCAAACATTTCCCGATCAGCTACAATACTGCCACTATGTACAAAATATCTGATGATAAATGTGCACACATATAAAAATACAGTATGCATTACCTATGTACAGTACATGTGCAAAATGTATGGCATTCAAACATGATATGGAATTGATTTCAGGGGTGCAAACAGCAAATACAAAGGCATCATGGTTTTTCTTTTAAAAAAACAACATAAAGGCAATACATGAATGGACCCCCGACTGCCATAATTTTTTGTTTATTAAACTAGTGCTTCAACAAGCAGGGCTCTGTAGATTGGTATCTTTCTCCTTTTTTTCATAAAGTGAGATGCTAAGACATAATGTGACAATGAAAATAAGAAGAGAAACACCTATCACATTGCATTTCTATTGCAAGCAAGAAAAGAAAACTCATTTCTACATAGAAAAAAAACCTTGTATTACTACTGAATGTTATTCTTAAACCAACAAAACAACTCTATACTATTTTACATGAAAACAATAGAGAAATATCTACATCTTTGTGAAAATTATAACCTTAAATGGATAATACCTTTTTGGGACTGATTTTTGAGATCTCATGAGTCTCAAATTTTAAACAAAAGTGCCTCCTTTTGGCAAATACTTGGCAATGCCTTTGGTTCCTTTAAAGCAAGTTTGCATTACTATTGGTTACTTGAGGTCAACTACTTTTGGTAGATACTAAAAACCCTTTCCCAAATGCTTCCTCTTCCTACCAAATTAGCAAGATTCTTTACAGCATCACATAGAGAGGTAATTGTTATGAGTTTCAGTGATTCTATAAACTTTGTTAAAGCTTTGTCTTAGTAGTTGGCATAAAGCTCTGTTAAACACTATGGATGTGATGATATCTCTGATAACATATTTTATTTGATTCCCGACAGCACCTTGTAGATCGGAGATTGCTATCTTGTTGTCACAAAACTGTGACATGACAGAGCAAAGTGTCTGCATGGCGGATAAGAGCTCTTCTGTAAACATGTGCAGCTTTTCGAATTATAGGCCTTCCATGAAAGATTTCAGGTAGAAATCCTTTGTAATGATGTGTTTCCTTGGATACTGCAAGAAAGGGCAAATGCGGAAAAAACACGGACCTGCTTATTGCCATGCAGACAGAGTCACTTTACAAATAAAAAGGTAGCTCAGAGAGACTGCTGGATGAGCAAGTTATTGAAGGTTTGAACCAGGAAAAAAAATGACTGTATCTTAGTTGTTTTCCAGTTTTGACTGAAATCACTTAAAAGATGAGCTGAAATGCAGTTAGGATGCTCTCCAGATACACACTGATGCACTTGTAAGCTATGTTCCTTGAAACACCTCACCTTCCAGTTAATGTGCTTCCATGATTTGGGGCTAATTTTTTGTGGCCTCTAGGGCGGTGGGATGATTTGTATGGGTATCCTCCTGTCAGCAGTCAACATTCATGTTTATAGTAATGGATAGTGAAAAATGGAGAGTTATTTGTGTATTTAGTTAAACTGACATGTGATGCTCTGCTGGTAGACAGTAAATAGCTGTTCTCTTTAAATTTCTCTAAAAAGTGCCCAGTGGCACCATGAGCTCCCCACCCGAGTGACAGCTAGGACTCCTCTGAGGCTAGCACCAGGCAGGCACACGGAAGCTGATGAGGATGTATACTGAAATGTGGGCTTCTCACAAATATTTTAAACCCTGCCAAAGTGCTTTACCACTTCTCTAAGGCCAAGTCCATTTGAGGACAGTAAAGGGACTATCCTGTCACTTGTGGGGACAGCTGTTTGGTCAACTGTTACAGCTGATTTCAGCCTGGGAATTCTGAAAGGACTCTGAAAAAATGCTGCCTGGAATGATCTGGGGTTGAAGGGTCCAGGAAGCCCGAGTCAGCTCTGGTGACAAATAGGTAGTACGCTCCTGAGCCATCACTCAGTGTGTGCTGACTGCAGAGTTCAGAGGCACTATCTCATTACTATGACTTTGCCTTCCATAGGCAGTGGCTTGCAGGCACCACCACCCTGCCTTTGCCACTCTTTCTAAACAGCACTGAAAGCCAAAAAGTGTCAGTTACATGGATCACAGAACGATGTGGCTTTTAAAAAGAAAATTTAAATAAGATCTTTTTAGAATTACAAAAATATTCATATGAAACAAACACATTATTATCTAAGCAAGAAATTCCACGAATTCAGAATACATCTATGTACAAATATGTGGCAAATACTATACAGTAGATTGCACATTTCAGGAAAAACACTAGAACGTGAACCACTAACACTGTCCTAAGAGGTTTCCTAGTAGACACTTTGCTGAAATGTACAAAATAACGACGTACCCCTAGACTTTCAAAGACTTTACAGAAATTTTGGTATAAGTTTTTAAATTCATACCGCCCCCAGTAGGAGGATCTGATATTTATATACAGCAGAAAGGTAAGGCTGATACTACTGTGTTTTCAGAACATGTAGGGAAGTTAAGACTGGGGATGTGAGACAATGAGTTTCTAGGAGTTATTTGCTTGGCAATATGATACTCTGCAATATGATACACAACAGTACTAGTGCTAAACTATACACGTGCATAATGAAAATTCAACTGGCAATTTTGACTTGTGCTGTAATGGCTGTGAACTAACTTAAACAACAACAACCAGCCGTCTTTAGTCAATGTCGACTCTTGGTCATTGCACTCAACATCATGTGCAGTGAGTCAGGTCAGAGGGGCCTTGTTTACACAGTATCATCTTTGGTCATGTCACATGAGTATGAGCACATAGCGTGTCCTCACTCTAACCTGGAACATGTAGTGGAGATCCTGGAGAGCAGCACCTGTCTCACAGGTGCCTGGCTGGTGACTCACAGAAGGAAAGGAGGGCCAAGCAGAATGGAGCAAGTGCGGTGCCTTGTAGAATTGATGGCTGGAGACGCCTTGCCTTCTTAAAAAATGAAATGCTGGTATGTAAAGGTTTAAACACATATGTGAAGTGGGCATTTTAGCAATTCATAGTCAAAAGACAGCAGGCTGAGATAGCATTTTGTGCACTGGACAGTGTATTTTTGGAGAGCAACCTTCCTGTGGCATGTTTCAAACCCTGTTTTAAAAAGCAATAAAGGGACCCAAGAGCTAGAAAACTATGTACACAATTCAGGATTATAGAAAAAGAAAGTTATTCAACGAGAGTCAATGGCACTAGTTTTCGGTTACCTCCTACAGTCCTACTGTTATCTGTTGCTCATTTAATAAGCCATTCACATCTGAATGAAGAAGATGCTCAGAGTCTAAGTATGAACCTGATAAACCCAGCCAGACACCCTCAGCAAAAAACCTGTGGCCAAGAACTCTAGGAAAAATACTTTGCCAAGTAAATAGCCTGGCCCTGGAGACAGGCCCCTCTCAATGGAACTGACTCGAGGATTCCCAGAACATCTAGTGTGGTAAACTCTTGTAGGGCTTGGTCAAATGATGGTGTTCTGGTTAACAGAGAGTTACTGTATCCCATGCACTGGTTTACCAATTTCTGAACACTTAAACTATTCATCACAGACTACACTGAACACAGTGGCCTCTGCCTTGAACCATTTGGAAGGCACATGAGCACTGTTAGTGCCTTTGAGTCAGGAAGTGCCAGTGAGCAGAGGGCTCCAGTGTGGTCACGCTAGAAAAGCAGACTTTTGTTATACATAATATAATTTATAAACCACACACACACAAACATACACATACACACACACACACACACACACACACACACACACACACAAATCAGAAATAAGATCAGCTCTTAGGCAAAACACACACAGAAATGATTCACAAATTCTTTCCAAATAACGGGTTAGGCTGCCTCTTGCATGTCAGTATGGAACATTTACCATATTGTGACCCAGGGGAACCAACCTGTCCCAAGGGTTTACGCAAGGGTGAGGTGGAGAGCATATTATTATTTAAGAGAAACCTCCATGCTCTTTTGGTAGATTTTTTTTTTTGTTTAGTTATTTACATTTTGTCATATGCCTAAATGACTAGCTTGAAATAATCCTGTGATAGTTGGCAGTTTAGAAAATTCTTAAGAAATGACTTAACAAATATGTAATTTTTTTTTTCTATATATAAAAAAACTAATAAAACCTCCAGTTTTTCAATCTTAGGCTTGACAATACAGTGAGAGCTCTGGTAGAACATCCAGTTACAAGCCTGTAAAATGATAACCAGGGATTAGTGACAGAAGAAAGAGGGCCAGGGCGGGGACCTGGAGGCCCACCTCATGGCACAGTCTGACCTATACTCATCATGGGAATGTCCTGGGTAGATGACAGACCTTCCCCTTACCTTTCATTCTTCTAACTCACCAGCTCAGAAAGATATTTCATGCTAAAGCCTTTTCTTGGTTCTCTGAGATGGGTCTGGTTACCTGAAAGTTAGTCAGCAATTCTTTAAATACAGAAATACATGTGGCTCAAGTACTCTAGAAATATTCGAGCTATTAAAAAAGTAGGACCTTGGATACCCATTTCCTTACCCCAATGTAGGCTGTACAAATCACAATGTCAGCATACATACAAATGTCTAATATATACATTGAAGTCAATTTAACCAACCCAGAGGGTTGCTAAATAATTTTCAGTGTTAATCAGTATACCTGGACTTCTGACAGTATTTTGTAGATAGCTTCTGATTATGCTGAAAAATCTTCCATTTAAATTTAAATTTGGAAATACAAAGTAAGATTCCAAAAATTGCAAAATAAACTACAACACCAAAAAAACAACATAGGTTTCTGAACAGAACCAAAAGTTTTCAGCCGGAAGCTGTCACTGAACTGGCCAGGGCTCTCCACTGCCTTTGACCCCTGTTGTGTCTCGGGCCTGGCTCTGGCCATCTCTAGGAAGTACCAAGTGCAGTGGCCTCTCACCTTCCCTACATCGGCCTTATTTTTTGAGTGAAGCTGTCTGCTTTTTATTTAGGGTCTTAAAGAGACCAGAGAGATTTAAATGTAGTTAATGACCAGAATCGTACAACATAACTGTGCTGCTGATGTTTCTTTGTATCTAAAGGTACTTTTCATTCTTTACTCAAGTCTGGCGAAACAGATGAGTCTTCTTTGACTAGCGTGTTTTTCAGAAGGCCCTGTGCTATGTTAAATTGTAGAAATTTACTACTGAACACAATGAAATGTTTTCAAACTTGGGTTCCAGGCTATGACCTTCCACCTATTCTTTCTGTGACAACATATTTTAATTGCAACAATGCAACTATAGATCTATCTCTAAAAACTGACCTTTTAGAATCTTCTTCATGTTCTTAAACCTCATCAACTCTGAGACAAGAAATCTGTGACGTTAGTCCCATGGTAGTGGTAGGTCCTGTGGATCTAGAAAGTCGGCAGAGAACATGCTTGGTGCAGCGGTGCTGAGAGGAGTGAGTCCCGAAGAGGAGTTGGGCATGGTAATGTCCAACCACTCCATGTTGTCCAAGTTTGAGTCTGACAGGTCAAGAGACAGACAGGGAGTACCTGCAGCAAACTGGGTCTCAGAAGTCTCCATGGGCGAGTGTGAATGGTCCAGCACACCTGAGTGACTGAGCAGATCAGTCTGGAGGTCCTCGATCAGAGAGAAGGGCTCTCTGTCTTCACTGCTGCTTTGTAGTGGAACAATTTCATTGGCTGAGGGTAAAGTTCCATCTAAGAAAGCTTCTAGTTGGTTCTCTAAGCTGGCAGATAAACTGCTCATAGGTTCTAAAGATATAGGTGGTGCCATTTGGACTTGGGGTGGTGGCCGGGACACCACTGTATTCACTGGCATTGTGGTGATGCTGGCTGTCACTGGTCTCATTTTGGAAATAGGAGAAGGCTCTTCTTTTATGGGGAAGGAGATCTCTGTGCAAAATAATTGAAGTAATTAGTATCTAAAGATTTACTGCTACTTAAAAATTACTAGGACAGTTACTTTACTATTATGTGATTCCTTCTATGCATGTCCATCTTAGAGGTAGGAAGAGAATGCTATTGGTCAGGTACTATCCTTGATAACCTTTAGGATGATGGATCATTTTTGTTAAATAGATAAACATGTTTATTACAATCTTTTTTATTGTAAATTTAGTCAGCAGACCATCCAAGTCGAGTTTATTACATTCTGGTATGCTTTAAATTCTTTTCAGTAAGACTGAGTATTAAGAGCATTTACATCACAGTAGATGTATTATTTTGTGTCCTTATTTTGTCATTTAAAATTTTAAGATAGGGCTCAGACCATCCTATGAGTCTATAGCAGCAGGATACTCTAAATGTTGAAATGTACATCCTGAGTTTGTGCAGAGGCCTGAAGTACATCCTCAATGTTATGTAAGAGATAATTAAATTTCTTACTTTTTTTTTAACATTACAGTTGGAATGGGTACCCAATTTAGCCATGTGCGTTCTGTGTAAAGTTCTGAAAAGATGCAATGGCATCCGTTTCTGAATTAAACCTAACACATGATTCCTTAAACCTTTTTCTTTAATGTGACGTGGATCACTTGCTTCTTTCTTTCACTTTTTGGTCTTGTTTTCTGAATTTATGGGAAATGTCTTCATAAGCACCAATTATGTGTTATTCCTTGCCAGATCGAGTAGCAAATTAATGGACCGTCTTCTATAAATACTGGTGTTGAGTTAACTACATACATTAGAATAAAGGATCTTTTGCCCCAACGGGGAGCCAAATTAAAAAACAAATAGAATAAAGGATCTTCTAAAATTTTAAGAGGATATGATTGGTTTCATTTATATGCAGATACACTAAGAAAAATAAATTTAACAATAGCTCTAAAAGCTCAGTGACTGGTATGTGTCAACTGTGTGTACTGCATTTGTTCTTGAAGGGTTTATGTTACTTTTAATATCAGTAGTCATCTCTAAAATTGTTTTGAAAGCTTTAGGTGTAATCTAAGTAACTAGTCTTGTTTTTTTTTTTTTTTTTGTGAGATGGGAGTCTTGCACTGTTGCCCAGGCTGGCTGGAGTGCAGTAGCACAATCTCAGCTCACTGAAGCTGCCACCTCCTGGGTTTCAGTGATTGTCCTGGGTTTTAGTGATTCTCCTGCCTCTCAGCTTCCTGAGTCGCTGGATTACAGGTGCCCTCCACCATGCCCAGCTAATTTTTGTATTTTCAGTTTCATCATATTGGCCAGGCTGGTCCATGTTGACCTCAGGTGATTGCCTGCCTTGGCCTCCCAAAGTGCTGGGATTATAGGCATGACACCGTGCCTGGCCCTAAGTAACCAGTCTTGCAACTAACTATATAAAACTTGGTTCTCGTTATTACTGGTATTAGTAGACAATAAGATGTAATAATATACTTACTGGATACTTTGTCATAAGAAAAATCATCCTATTTAGAAAATATCTCAAATGTTGTTGTCACATTTTAACTTCCAAGTTTAAGGTCCCTGCTACCACAGCCAGATAATTTTTGTATTTTAGTAGAGATGGGGTTTCAACATGTTGCCCAGGCTGGTCTTGAACTCCTGACTTCAAGTGATCCACTGCCTTGGCCTCCCAAAGTGCTGGGATTACAGGTGTGAGCCACTGAGCTTGGCCAGCTTAAATTATTTTTGTAACGCCAATACAGTTCTTAGCAAAAAGTACTATTTGCGTATGAAGATCCGTAGTCAAATATCAATTCTCTATGTCAACGTCAACTTCAGTACCAAATAATACCTGCTACAAATGGAAAACTTTAGATCACTATTTGAAAATTCAAATAAAACTCCTTTCACCAGGGTAATTTTAAGACTACTCTAAATACGCAAATACTACTCAGGAATATTTTTAAAATAGTGATTTTTATATTTATTTTTAAAGATATGTAAGCTGAGGCAACAATATTCCTTGCTTTTTTTGTGGCTAATGTCCCCCCCCCCTTTTTTTTTTTTTTTTTTTTGAGACGGAGTTTCGCCCTTGTTACCCAGGCTGGCGTGCAATGGCGCAATCTCGGCTCACCGCAACCTCCGCCTCCTGGGTTCAGGCAATTCTCCTGCCTCAGCCTCCTGAGTAGCTGGATTACAGGCACGCGCCACCATGCCCAGCTAATTTTTTGTATTTTTAGTAGAGACGGGGTTTCACCATGTTGACCAGGATGATCTCGATCTCTTGACCTCGTGATCCACCCGCCTCGGCCTCCCAAAGTGCTGGGATTACAGGCTTGAGCCACTGCGCCCAGCCTAATGTCCCTTTTTAATAAAGATGATATAACTCTAAGATTTCATGTTATATTGTTGAAAATGCTTTGGCATTGACTTTGAATTTTAATAAAGATACTGGAGCCCATGCTAGGTAGCTTGATGTCACATTCATTAATGCATTATTGGAATGTTTTAATACCATTACAATGACATATGCATGGAATAAGTTTTGAGGTTTTTCAGCATGGAATTTAAATCTGGTTCTACTTTGCTATTTGGTCTTTGTTTTTAGCAGGCATCTATCTGTGGATAAATCTCGTATTATCTTACTCTTTTAAGCTATCACAGTTCACTGCAGCCTTGACCTCCTGGGCTCAAGCAATCTTCCTGTATCAGACTCCCTAGCAGCTGAAACCCTATGGGTGTGCAACCATGCCCTGTTAATTGTTTAAATTTTTTGTAGAGATGAGGTTTCATTATGCTGCTCAGGCTGGTCTCGAACTCCTGGGCTGAAGTGGTCCTCTAGCCTCAGACTCCTAAAGTGCTGGGATTATGGATCTGAGCCACTGTGCCTGGCCATAAGTTCTTTTAATGGCCTAAACTTGACAGACATAAAAATAATACGTTCAGTTAGAACAACATGTTTCTCAGTATCTAAAGATAAGCTATGAGTGCTTAAGAAAAACTTGTGTTAAAAGATGACTTCCTGTGAGGGTCTGATTTGACTTTTCACTTACCTCCACTCTTAATGAGGATATCAAAGAGGTCATCCATCTGTTGACTGTGTGCATTGGAAATCTACAATGAAGGAGAGTACAAAGTAAGTTTATTTCATACAAACCTGGAAGCATTATACAATCAGGAGTCCTAAGGGACTTTCTAGACAATTTAGTTCTAACTGATCATGTGATAATTTTGAAAACACTGAGGTCACCTGAGAAGTTAAGCCATTTCTTAAGATGTACAGCTGGTAAGCTGACACAGCAAGAACAGGGCTAGTTAGTACCGAGCTCCAATCACTACTTCTTCTTTTTTTTTTTTTTTTGAGATGGAGTTTTGCTCTTGTTACCCAGGCTGGAGTGCAATGGCACAATCTCGGCTCACCGCAACCTCCACCTCCTGGGTTCAGGCAATTCTCCTGCCTCAGCCTCCTGAGCTGCTTGGATTACAGGCATGTGCCACCATGCCCAGCTACTTTTTTGTATTTTTAGTAGAGACGGGGTTTCACCATGTTGACCAGGATGGTCTCGATTTCTTGGCCTTGTGAGCCACCCGACTCGGCCTCCCAAAGTGCTGGGATTACAGGCTTGAGCCACCGCGCCCGGCCTCCAATCACTTCTATACTTCCCTTTCTTTTCTATCATTGAATTGCATTTTGAGAGGACTCTAATATCTTATTTTACAAGTGTCTTTATTCATTTGTATTTAGGTAAAAAAATCTGTATAAAGGTGATCACATTATACATATTTTTTCAACTTTCTTTTTTTTTTTGAGACGGAGTTTCGCTCTTGTTACCCAGGCTGGAGTGCAATGGCGCGATCTCGGCTCACCGCAACCTCCACCCCCTGGGTTCAGGCAATTCTCCTGCCTCAGCCTCCTGAGTAGCTGGGATTACAGGCATGTGCCACTATGCCCAGCTAATTTTTTATTTTTATTTTTAGTAGAGACGGGGTTTCACCATGTTGACTAGGATGGTCTCGAAATCTTGACCTCATGATCCACCCGCCTCGGCCTCCCAAAGTGCTGGGATTACAGGCTTGAGCCACCGCGCCTGGCCCTTTTTTCAACTCTTAATGAGATTTACCTGACATACAATAAGCTGAACTTAAAGTATGTAATTTGATATGTTTTGACATATAAATACACCCATGAAATCATCAACAAAATCAAGATAATGAGCATATCCATTGATCCTAAAGTTTTCTCATCCCCTCATCCCTTGGCAACCCCCAGATCTGCTTGCTTTCACTATGGATTACTTTTATATGAACGGATTCATACTGTGTGTACTTTTTTTGGTGGTAGGGGGAGGACTAGATTGTTTCACTCAACATAATTATTTTGAGATTTTTCCATCTTGGAGAGTGTACCTTAGGAATAGTTCATTTCTTTTTTTTAATTGCGGAGTAGTGTTGCATTGTATGGAAATACAGCAGTTTGTTTATTCATTCACTTGTGGATGGACATTTGGGTTCCCAATTTTTGGCTTTTACAAAAAGTTACTGTGAATTATTTCTGTACAGGTCCTTGTATAGACGTGTTTTCTTTTCTCGTGAGTAATAACGAGGAGTGAAATGAGTGGATCACAGGATAGGTGTAGGTTTAACTTTTTAAGAAATGGTCAAACTGTTTTCCAAAGTGACTTTTATTTACATTCCCACCCAGAGTACATGCTATAAGATTTCTAGTTGTTCTGCATTCTCACCAATACTTTGTAGAGTCACTCTTTTCAGTTTTAGATTTCCATTAGGTGTGCAGGAGTACTGGACTGGGGTTTTAATTTGCATTTCCTTAATGACTAATGATGTTGAGCATCTTTTCAAGTGCTTATTTGCCATCTGTTTATCTTCTTGGGGAAAATGTCTGTTCAAATCTGGCTACTGCAGATTTCTGCTTGCTGTTTGCATGGCAGATCTTTTTCCAACCACTAACTTTCAATGTCTTTGTATTTAAAGTATGCCTCTTGTAGATACATGCATTAGTTACCTATTGATATAAAGTACTGCAAAACTTAGTAGCTTAAAATTATTATGTCACAGTTTTGTGAGTCTCAGGAATGGTTCTGATGGGTGGTTCTGGCTTGGGGTCTTTCACGAGACTGCAACTACCGTAAACTCTAGGTGTGGGTGGGGAATGTCCTTGACTGGCAAGTTAGTGCTGGCAGTTGATGGGAGGCCTCAGTGCCCCTTGATGTGAGCCTCTCCAGATGGCAGCTGACATGTCCACATGGCATGACGGCTTGCTTTTCTAGAGCGAGCAATCCAGGGAACAGCAAGGCAGAAGGGGCATGCCTTTTATGACCTAGTCTCTGGAGTCACACACCATCCCCTCTGCCAATTCTGTTTGTTGGAAGTGGGTTGCTAGGCTGAGCGCAGTGGCTGACACAGCACTGTGGTCATCAGAGCACTTTGGTGGTAATTACAGCACTTGGGCAGGCTGAGGTGGGTGGATCACAAGGTCAAAAATTCAAGATCAGCCTGGCCAAAGTGGTGAAACCCTGTCTGTACTAAAACCACAAAAATTAGCCAGGCATGGCGGCAGGTGCCTGTGATCCCAGCTACTAAGGAGGCTGAGGCAGGAGAATTGCTTGAACCCGTGTGGCAGAGGTTGCAGTGAGCAGAGATTGTGCCACTGCACTCCAGGCTAGATGACAGAGTGGGACTCTGTCTTTAAAAAAAAAAAAAAAAAAGGCCAGGCGCGGTGGCTCAGGCCTGTAATCCCAGCACTTTGGGAGGCCGGGGCGGGTGGATCACGAGGTCAAGAGATCGAGACCATCCTGGTCAACATGGTGAAACCGGCCGGGCGTGTGGGTCACACCTGTAATCCCAGCACTTTGGGAGGCCGAGGCAGGTGGATCACAAGGTCAGGAGTTTGAGACTAGCCTGGCCAAAATGTTGAAACCCCGTCTCTAGTTAAAAAAAAACAAAAAAAACCCCAAAACAAAACATGGTGAAACCTCATCTCTACTAAAAACACAAAAAATTAGCTGGGAATGGTGGCACGTGCCTGTAATCACAGCTACTCAGGAGGCTGAGGCAGGAGAATTGCCTGAACCCAGGAGGCGGAGGTTGCGGTGAGCCGAGATCGCACATTGCACTCCAGCCTGGGTAACAAGAGCGAAACTCCTGTCTCAAAAAAAAAAAAAAAAAAAAAAAAGGTGAGTTGCTAAATCCAACCCAGGGAGGAACTTGCAGACACATCTTAAAACCACATATAGTTGAGTCTGACTTTTTAGCCATTCTGACAAATTTTGCATTTTGTGTTGTAATTATTGACATGGTTAGGTTTACTATTTTGTATTTGTCTTCTATTCATCCTGTCTTTTTTGTTTTGTTGTTATCCTGTTTTTCTTTCTGTCCTTAAAACAAAATTGGACATTTTTGTATTCCAGTTTTTCTTTTTTTTTTTAAGACAGTTTTGCTTTGTCACCCAGGCTGGAGTGCAGTAGCGCAATCTAGGCTCCCTGCAGCCTCAAATTCCTCGGATCAAGTGATAGTCCTGCCTCAGCTTCCCAAGTAGCTGGACTAAAGGTGTGCACAACCACACCTGGCTAATCTTTTTTTGTATAGATGGGGTTTCATCATGTTGCCCAGGCTGGTCTTAAACTCCTAGGTTCAAGTGATCCTTCCACTTTGGCCTCCCAAAGTATTGAGATTGTAGGTATGAGAAAACATGCCAGATCTTTTCATTGTTTTTTTTTGTTTTTTAAAGCTATCCTGTATTTTTAAAAATGTTACCAAAGATATGTAATACATATCCTTAACTTCTCATAGGCTACTTAATGTTGTACATTGAACAAAACGGAGATCCTGCAACCATACAGATCCACTTATTTTCTCCCCACCCTTTATTAATTATTTTAAGTATTGTCCACACATGCTACAAGCTCCTCAGGACAATGTTATCTTTGGTGATGAATTAACTCAATTTTTCTTACATCACTGAGGATAGCTGATATAGTTTAACTTGACACAGAATTCTGCGTTGACAATCCCTTTCACTTCTTCCTCCCTAAAAACTTTTAAACATGCGGTTGGACTCTTTACCAGTTTCCATAGTTTTTGATGAAAGGTTGGGATTAATCAAATAGTTGATTGCTCTGTGTGTAATGTGTTTTTTTAATTGATACATTTAAGATTTTCTCTGTTTGTTCAACAATTTGACTAATCTGATTTATCCAACTTGTTTATTGGGCTATAAATTTGTCTTTCATCATATTTGTGAAAATTTCAGCCATTGTTTCTTCAAATAATTGCCTCTTCAGTTCTTTCTTCTCCTTCTGGGACTTGTTTTCTACCTAGGCTAGACTGTTTGTTTGTATTACATAACAGAGTTCTGAGGCTTTAGGAGGCCGAGGTGGGTGAATCACAAGGTCAGAAGTTCGAGACCTGCCTGGCCAAAATGGTGAAACCCATCTCTACTAAAAATACAAAAAGTTAGCTGAGTGTAGTGGTGGGCACTTGTCATCCCAGCTACCCAGGAAGCTGAGGAAGGAGAATCACGTGAATCCCGGAGGTGGAGACTGCATTAAGCTGAGATTGCACCACTGCACTCCAGCCTGGATGACAGTGAGACTTTGTTTTTTGGGTTTTTTTTTTTTTTTTTTTTTTTGAGACAAAGACTTTTCCCCAATCTCTGTTAGTCAGATTAGGTAAGTTATGATCTATCTTCAGGTTCATGACTTTTTTTTTTTATCTCAGCCATCTCCGTTCAGCTAAATTTATTTATATTATTTTTTCTTTTCAGATATTGTACTTTTTTTAGGTCTTGAATTTCCATTTACTTCTCCTAAAAACCATTTCTACATCTGTATGGATCCCTTTTCATTTATTACAAACATAATTCCTTTTACATCATTGAGGATGGTTGTAACAGTAGTTGCTTTGAAATCCTTGCCTGCAAATTCTAACATCTAGGTGAGCTTAGGATTGGTCTCAGACTTTTTCCTTTGAGAATAGGTTACGTTTTCCTGATTCTTTGTATGATGCATGTAATGGATAAATGTTATGGATGTTAAATTGTGACAACTGTGAATTCTGCTATTATTCTTAGATGAATGGTTTCTATTGTTTTAGCAAGCTATTAACTTGGTTAGACTGAAACTTCAAAATCTTTCTTGGGTAGATGTTACAATCTCACTTTAGATCTTTTGTCTTCAGCTGAGCTGCTGTGTGTCTATTCCATGCCTGTATGGCTTAGGAGTCAGCCAGGTATGTGGGCACACAGAATTTGGGGATCTTCTCTCTAGCTTTTTCCCTCTGGTTGCTCTCAGTTCAGTTCTCTGGATTCCCAGACCGTAAAGACCAAAGCTTTTCCACCAGTAACCCTGCCACTTAGCTTGACCCCAGAGTAAAAGCAGCAAAAAGAGGGAACTCAGGCCACATCACTCTCTTCCTTTGAGTGTTGATTCCCCACCAGATACTGACTGCTTCTATTTACTCTTCGATGCCTTCAGGTAGTTAGTTGCTTTTTGTGTCATGATCAAGATTAATAGCTATTATCTGTGGGAAGACTGAACTGGCAGGGCCTTACTTACCCTGTAGTGGAACTGGGAGTCTGAGTAAACATACTTAAAGGAAGTTTAGTGCTCAATGGCATGTAAGGAGGTCCTCCAGGTGGCTACTCATTTGAATAACCAAAAACCAGTATGTAGAACCTGTCTCCTTCAGTCTATAAACAGGAACCCAGAGGCATGTAAATACCAGGTATTCCAGTCAGCTGTCTTAGGTTACAGTGGAAGGTTCATTAAGTAAGCAGGACTTATGAAGGATGGGTGCTATCTTTTTGTTTTCTTAAAAACTGCATTTAAGCTCCTGGGAATTCCCTTCATCTCTGCTCCCCTGTGAAGAGAATAGATGTCACTTTGGAATGGACCATGAGGGAGCGCAGTGTAGTCCAGCACTGCCTATTTTACTTCTTGTAGCAAACATTTGATCCTGTCTTTGAAATCTGACTTTTCCCTCACAGGCAAGGGCCTTTGCTGAGTCTGTAACTAAAGGGACATCTTACAACTCAAAGTTAGTTCCCTCAATACTCAGTGAATACAAAGAAGCATGTGGTAGGTTCCACGTCCTCCAAGAGGGAGTCCTCCATGGGCCCTGAGTATCCCTGCATGTCCTTGGCGGGGGGCCAAACTGACACTGTCCCCTGGACTGAGCAGCTTCTGCAGATGGTCACTCAGGCAACCAAGTGGGTCAAGGTAGCATAGGCATGACTGCTACTCCCTGGGTGAGGGACTGGCTTGTTTGCTGCTTGCCAGAAAAAGCACACAGCCCTTGGCCACGTTCCTTAGGTGCAGCTTGACCCACTGCATGCACAGCCACCATGTGGCCCCAACAAATTACCCCATGCAACACAGGAGCGGGGGAACCGGCACAACTGCGCTGATGCTCCTGTTGTTTGCTGTGGGTAATAAACAGTTCCGCTCAGATACTATCTCTTGGTGTCCACATTTAGCACCCCTGGAGTGGTATCAGGGCCACTCCTTGTACCCTCTATGAGGCTGAGGTTCTTCTGTGAATGTAAGGTTAGTTTTAAACTTTGACAGAAAGCTTTAGAGAGGCAGGGAGATTAGAGGAGTATTTAGGGTAATGTATGACAAGTACGGTTGTGACTGGATACCTATCATGGGTCATATGCTTTTACAAATAGGAACCCTACCTTCTTCCAATGCTTGGTCTAGTTGGGGCTATTCCTGTTTTATCAGTGGAAGGCTCAGAGGTCACATGGTCACCATGTGGGTATTATGTGTGGTGAAACCAGGAGAACCTCAGCTCTGTTCCCCTCAAGTGCATTCACTCAGTGTATGAGCACGGTCGTTTGGATGGGCTGGCCTGCTGGGGGCAGAGATTGCTAGAGACCAGAGAGAGATGAAGCAGGACCAAGTCAATTTAGGTGCTGGTGGCTTTGAATGCCAGCCAGGTGGAAGAGTGATACCACGTGTCACTTTGATGCCGGCGTGACACATGGTGGCTTTAGAAAAGAAGGGACCTGTTCAAAATAATAATCACATCTATCCCTGACATGACTGATGTCCTTACCCCAAAGGAAAAGTTAAGAGACAAACCCTGACGGGGACAGTGGCTCATGCCTGTAATCCCAACACTTTGGGAGGCTGAGGCTGGTGGATCATGAGGTCAGGAGTTTGAGACCAGCCTGGCCAACAAGATGAAATCTCGTCTCTACTAAAAATACAAAAAATTAGCTGGGTGCAGTGGTGGGTGCATGTAATCCCACCCACTTGGGAGGCTGAGACATGAGAATCACTGGAAACTGGGAGGCGGAGGTGGCAGTGAGCGAAGATGGTGCCATTGCACTCCAGCCTGGGCGACAGAGTGAGACTCAGTCTCAAAAAAAAAAAAAAAAAAGTTTTTGGGCTACAAACAGTCAATTTCTGAATAAATAGTAAATGCAGTTATACTGCTGCTGAAAGCAAATCTTTTGGGTCTTCATGATAAATGATATTTTGATTTTAAATAACCATGTAAAATACAAGGCTCCAGGCCATTATTTTTGTATTTCTATTGAGGCAAGTCAGTTCCAGATAAGGGATTCTGTATAGGTCTGCTTGAGATTGACGGTGAGCACCTCCACCGTAGCCTTAGGCACGGTGACCCTGCCCTCACTTACCTCTGGCAGGGGGACCTGTGCGCTGCGTGTCTGCTTGATGGCCTCTTCATAGCGGGGGGGATCTTTCGTCTTGGCAACTGGGCTCCCAAATAGAGAGTGCTGGACGACATATTGCTGGGGTGGTGGGGGTGAACTAGGCTGTGTCAAATAAAGGAGGAGCACATATTACCTCTTGACAACAAACCCTCTTTCCCTGGCTAGACTTGGCTCTGCTGTTCTCTGTGTAGTGGCCAAATCAGTAGGTTCTTTTAAGCACCTGTGAGGCTGACAGCACTGGTGGCCACCTCATGTGGGAAGGATCATCTTCACTGTAATAATAGCTGAGCTTCTCCTTCACAAGTTATCATCAGTGTATTTTCAACAATTTTATCCCATTAATACTGATAGTCACTTGAAGCCCAAAGTACTAGGCTTTGGAATGATTTTATGTCCCTGTAGCACTGTCATTGATGCACAAGCCTCACAGGGTTACCTTGCTGGGTGCGTTAGGTCCATTTTGAAGGGATGGAAGCGGAGCATTTCTGGACTGAAGAACACTGTTGGAGGCTTTATTAATAAAGGGTTGCTGGACTGCTGAAGCAGGATGTTTCTGATATGGAAGAACTGTATTTGATGATGCTGAGTTTGTGAAAACCTGTAATGCATAAATGTTTCTCCATTAATTTGTTCTTTGGCTTTTCCTAATGAAGTAAAGAAAACCATGTTTTACAGCAGAGGTGAGCAAACTTCTGTAAAGGGCCAGTAAGTATGTAGTTTACGATTTGTGGGCTACCTGGGCTCTGTTGTTACCACTAGGCTCTTCCATGATGACCCGAAAGCAGCCACAGACAATACACAGATAAATGGGTGTGGCTGTGTGCCAGTAAAACTTGATCCACACACAAACAGGTGGTGGGTTGGATTTGGCCTATAGGCCAGGGTCTGCTTACCCCTATAGCTGAGCATAAGTGGTCCTTTTACGCAGTAACTTGTCTTTGATAGCGGTACAGACAGAGCTTTGTGGAAAAATAGTGCTTGCTCTTTACAATTGTCCTCTTACATGATAGCTAAGTTTCTTCTATTCCTCTCTAAAGTGATCTCATCTACTCTCAAGGCTTGAATGGCCATGATTAAGCTGGTAATCCTGAGCCACTCCTCTGCTTCCAACCTTGCTCCCAGGCATTGAAGCCACTTACATCATCTTCCTAGATACCTGAAATTTAAATTATTCCAAGTGGATTTTTCTCCTTTTTTCCACTGCCCACTGCTTCTCAGCTTCCAAAGGAAAAAAAGTTCTGCTTTTTTTTTTTTAACTTAGGTAAATGGGATTATCAGTCAACTCTGCTTTCTCACTGAGTGCGCAAAAATCTCAGCAATGCTTCTTGAATATGCCTCTGCTCTCTGCTGTCCTGAGGCTGGCCCTCACTATTTATCACAAGGATTCTGCAGCAGCCTTGTGGCGCAGGCCCCCTGCCTACCCACTGCTGTAAGGTGTTCTCAAGGCATAGCCCCTACCACCCTCACTGACTCTCCTGATTTGGGTAAAACCCTCATCTTTGGCTGCTGGCATGTAAGTTTCTTACTCCCTGGCCCCTTTTCCATCCTACCTAAAACCTCAACCATGTTGTGGTCACACTCAATTTTCCATTTACTTGGAAATTTATTCAAATACAAGCAAAGCCCAATTTAAAACTGGCCCCCTTCTGAGATGCTGTTTTCTGTTCCAACAGGCAAAGATAAGAACTTCTTGCTGTGGAACTCTAAAATGTTTTGTTAAGCACCTCCATCAAGAGCTACAAGTTTTAGGGTCTTTTACAAACATATGTCCATATTGCAGAAACTGTCACTACTTCACAGAACTCGGTTTGCTCATGTTCTATACTACTAAAATTCTGAAAAACCTCTGTATTTCATAAGCTAGAATGTCTCTATGTATATTCTTCAAACAGTACAACCTCCATAGAGATGAGTTCTGTAAATACACTCCTATTTGAAAAAATAAAATTTCCTTAATTTGGTTAAAAAAAAATTTCCTTTACACTAGAAGTAATGATTCCTAATTCTAGTATTTTGAAAAACAAAAAACAAAAAAAAAACGAAAAAGCCCTAACTTATCTGATCTACATACCATTTTTCACTTTCGTCTTAACATTTGAACATTATACTAAGCTTTTAATTATACTAAAATGGTATTTTCAGCTTTCCCCAAACTCTGTAGCAACATACAATCATGATTCCTTGCACAGAGGAGATTCTCAAGCGGTACATGTGTTACATGTGACTGCTGTTGTCTGTCTCTAAAGCTGGTTTAACCCAGACAGTTCACACTATCCTGAGGCAGATCACAGGCACAACTAATTATCTGTGTTCTTTTATGTTGAAGAGTAAAACTCTGGGATTAATAATTTTAAAGGTTTAAAAGAGTAAGACCTGTTTTTGAGGCCTAAGATTTTTCTGACAAGGAGATATGCACATAGCTCCACCTACTGGCTAATGGGGAATGTGGGAGAATTTTTTTGGTAGGAATTTGTATAGAGGACACTGAATCCTAGGCCACCAACTTCATTTTAAAGATGAGGTAACTGACTCTCAGGGTAAGTGAATTTTGCATGAGGCCAAACACTTAGGCAATGGTGAACTGGAACTGGTAAGACCTTCTGGGCAAACTCTTACAAATGTATTTCAAGATCTTACTCAACATAAGTTTTAGAAGTATATTTTTCATCTTCAAATACCTTTCCCAAGGGAACAACATATATTGTTTTCTACAATATGTTTAATTTGAAAAAAATAATTTTAAAATTAAGTAAATTTAATATACGAGGAATGAAGACAAACACTTCTGAAACTTTCTGTTGTTAAAGGGGTTAACTGTGAAGGTGAACTATCTTTAGGAAAGAAAAGTTCCTTCTCCATTCCAAATAACTAGAAAAATCTGCAGCCAAATGGCATCCACATAAGACTTATTCTATGCGAGATGGATCACAGAGCGGTATGAACAGGAGCTTCCCAAAGCTTCTACGAAGATGCTTGTTGAATGGATGATTAGAGGATGGTAAAAATCAGCGAGAGTTTATTACTCAGTGGCATTTACAAACCTTTCTCACTTGTTGAGGCTGACTGAGCACATGCTGTGGGAACGTATCTTGTGTCTGAGGTACAGCTGGGGCTAAGCCTGGGGCCAAGGCAGCAGTTGATATTTGTGCAGCAGTTGCTATCGGAGGCTGAGTCTGCATTCCAGCTTGTGGTGAAGTCTAGGAGGTGAATTGAAGAAAAACATCCATTTAATTGCCAGAATCAAAGTTAGAAATCAGAATTCAGATGTAAAACCACTGGTCACTGGGGAATTGTACGTAAATAAAATAAGACCAAGTTTACAGATACACACTTCATCTGCACAGAAATCTGACTCTTGATGATTCTAAACCAGAGAGGGAAACACCAGACCAGTCACTGCATGCTCTTATTATTCCTAAGAAGCTAAGATTTCCATTTGTAAATTCTGAGAAAGTGGAAATGGAAGTAAGAACCTAGGGCAGTCCTATACATAATAGCTCAGGTACTGTAAGACTTCAATAGTGACAAGGAAACTTGCGAGACCTAACTGTCCCAATGCCTTCTTGTAAGCTCCATGTGTGCTCCCAAAGGAAAGCCAGCAACAGGCCGGGTACCCTCAGACCCAAGAATAATAGTTTTTGTTTCTACAAAAGCAATAAAAGATTTGGGCTGAAACATTTGTTTTAAGGACTTAAATAGACTTTAACAGGTAACCTGAAGATAAAACAGAGGAATTAGATTTTTTGTACATGCCAAAAAGTCTGCGAGCCCTGCCGGCCCTGCCTCCTAACCATAGGGGTACAAGATGATTCCTCTCTACTGTTTCAGGTATTTGGGTGTTGAGGTTGAGGAGCAGTGGTCCAAATGGTTTCTTGTTCATTCGTAATGCATGCTTGGTTAAAACTTACCAAAACTGCATGACATATGCATACCTCAGGTAAATACATATGTAGGCACAAAAGGGAATTTCATGCTCATCAGTGTTTTCTCATCTCTTTCAGTAACATCCTCACCCTTAAATTTGTGGCCACATTTTCCTTAGTTTAGGCTTCTTCATGTTAGCAGTGGCTTTTGAGAACTAAGTATAGGATGCAGAATATAAGAATGGGCATAAGAGTAAAGGCTCTGCAGGCAGAACACCTGGGTTTAAATGCCACCTCCATCCTTGGGGAACTCAGTGTCCTCATCCAGAGATGGATGGTATCATTTAGATCTTCTAGGAGAAGGGAGGATTAAGTGCAGCTGGCCATTTAAAGTACTTAATGCTGTGCCTTGCACAGAAAAAGGGCTCAGTGGCAGAGACTGTGATCACAATGATCATGTCACTGGCATGTAAAAAATGTCTGCATGGATGATACTGTGTTCATTAAAGGTAAAGGTAACAGAACTAGAAGAGCACCCTGTGTTTTTACTATATAAAAACAGTGCTAGATATTCAGATTTTTGAATAACCCTCTCACACATGCACACGTTTTCTCTAACTGTGAGGTCTTCTCTGGATGCATTTATGAAAGAGCTCAGGTATGGTTCCCTACTTAGCAGGGTTTGCATTCCATGCATGCTGTGAGGCAAAGTAGTTAGAAGACACACTTCACACCTGGAGTTTGAGGCTGCCTACGGGGAGTTGCACTGAGGTGACACTTGAACCCTGGATGGACACTGGGAGCAGCAGCTGAGCAGTCTGCGTGGTCAGTAAAGCCTGGGGCTGAGCAACAACGGCAGGCGGTGGCTGTCCCTGGGAACTCACATAAAACTGCGAGACGACACTCTGCTGCTCTGCCTGGGCCACAGGGACCTCCTGCTTGATAACCACAGCCTTTCTGGCAACAAGGGTCTGGCCACCTGTCGAGACGGGCTGGCCTACAGAGTGGCTGGCTACTGGGATGGGCTGCCTGGAGCTGGAGCAGTCGGGGAGTGAGGCCTCATCTTTGATGGAGGAGCCAAGGCTGCTGTGTTTCTGATCTGACTTGTTGACACAATGACCTGGGGCACTGGGCTGGGGTTCCAGGGGCCGCTGCTGCTGCCCTCGTTTTTCAACCTCAAGTTGCATTTTCAGCACTTCCACGAGCTTCTGCTCTTGTTCCAGTTTCCTCTTCAGCTCTTCGATTTGCTTCTCTTTCTCCTGAAGCTTGCGATCCTTCTCGGCTGCATCCAGTTCCAGGTTCGACAGAGTGCTGCTGGTGGGACTCAGACTGTCTTCATTATTTGTCATTCTCAAAGGAGATGAACACAAGAACTGTGAAGGAGACATCATGGTCATAATCTCGGTGAAAGTGTCTGCCATGTTTGTGTCATCGGTACTGAGACTGGATTGTTCAGAGGGAGATGGTGAAATGGGCAGAGGGGAATGAACACTGTCCACACGGGCTGTGTTACTGGTTCCAGTAGATGGCAATTCCACCTTGAGAGTGGAGACTGAGCTAGTCACAGTGTTGTGTAGTGTTGTAACAGGCAAGGCCACAGTGACTTCTGGGTTACTGGTGACAATGGCTGATGACGACACTGCCACGATGCCCCCAGCAGCAAGGCCGCTGCTGTTCACTTCCTGGTAGGGTTTCAGGCGCTCAATGAGGTCTGGTTTGGTGCCTGACACTGGCAGACCCCTTAACTTCAGTTCTGTCTTCAGTTCTGATACCTGGAGGTACAAACACAGCAGATCTCTTGGTATTAGAGCTTTCTGGCAAATCTACAGTCCACTTTTGTGATGGAAAAGGTGCCTATGTCTATCAGACAACTCCGTGTTACTGCACACCTGAAAGTGGAACTGTTTTTTTCTTTTCCTTTTTTTAGAAAGATTCGCTCTTTTTGCCCAGGCTGGAGTGCAATGGTGTGATCTCCACTCACTACAACCTCCACCTCCCAGGTTCAAGAGATTCTCCTGCCTCAATCTCCCACAAGTAGCTAGGATTACACGCATGCCCTACCGTGCCTGGCTAATTTTATATTTTTAATAGACATGGGGTTTTACCATGTTGGTCTGGCTGGTGTTGGACTCCTGACTTCAGGTGATCCACCTGCCTTGGCCTCCCAAAGTGCTGGAATTACAGGCATAAGCCACTGCGCCTAGCTGAATGTAAGGGTTTTTAGAGGGTAATTCCTCTTTCATGTCAAAGCGGAGAAATACTACCAGGAATGATGATGACAAAGCTGTATTTACTGAGAATCTGTCATGTGCAAGACACTGTTGGAAGTGCTCTACTCTTTCCACTTGTCTTCACACGACCCCATGAGATGTCTGTATCATTATTCTTCCCATTTTTACAGAGAGGGAGGCAAAGGAAGGGAGAGGTTGAAGCACAGACAACAGAAGGCTTAGCTGTGATAGAAACCTAAAAAGGCTGGCCCTAGAGCTCATATTTTTAACTGTGACATTTTCCTGCTTCTCCCAAACTTGGCATTGAGCAGGGAAGAAAAAAATCGCAGTCTCTGGAATCCAGCAGAACTGGTAGGTACCTGCACAAGATACATGCTCAGTAAGTGACAGTTGTTATTAGTGGAAGTAAAAAGGAAGTAGCTTTATAAAAATTATCATATTGCTGGTAAAACTGAATGTCTACTGAAAACCACTTAATGTCTGCTAGACAAATATGGCAAATCATTTACATGTTTGTGGTACTTATGGGTTAAATAGCTCTAGTTGGAATTGTCACCTTTAGGTCATCCAGGCTAGAAGGCAGAGGTCCTGGCTTTCTCACAGGAGCAGCTGTATTCTGTCTTGGTATGTTAGGTGTGGTATTGTTCAAAGCTGAATTTCCACTGTTACTATTTTTGTCATTGAGTGGCCTTCAAAAGAAAAAGAAAATTAGAGTTTATAATTTCTAGATTTGACATTGCTTCTATCAACAGTTTGACTAACTTATGAAGAGAAAAATACCACAATCACAGATTGGAAGGCTCAATATTGTAAAGATGCCAATTATATTAGATTGCAACAAAATACCTTCTGGTTTTGTTTGCTAGTGTGGTGGAAATTTAGAAGGTGTGAGACTATGCTTCATATGGAAATGCAAAGGACCAAGAATGGCCATGAATTCTCGAAGAAAAGCAAAGTTTTCAGAAGAGTCCCATGACCAGACATCAACACATAATTAACGTGGTGTGTTGCTGATACAGGGACAGAACAACAGGCAAATGAGAGATCCCAGCAAATCCAGAAATGGCTTTCTGCATACCTGGACCCTGGAGTTACCAAAAAGAGGACACCGTGATGCAGTGGATAGAGGGCAGGACTTTGGATAGCACCATGCTACATTGGAAATTCACACGGGAAAAAACAGGGCTCTTGATTGGCCTCACCTCACCTCATTCCAAAGTCTACATGTGAATTATGAAGATAAAGCTTTCAGAAAAACACTCGGGATAGTATCTTCATGGCCTTTGGGTAGACAAAGATTTATTAAACAGGACGTAAAAAGCACTAGGTAACAGTAAAAAGTCAAGCCACAGTGCAGGACCACAGATCTGTAATACATATTTCTGACAAAGACCTCATATCTAGAGTATATAAAGAGGTCTTTCAAATCAGTAAGAAAGAGACAGAAAACTCAGTGGAAATGTGGAGGAAAAATCTGATAGCACAAAAAAGCATATCCCAATGGTGAATAAATGTGTGAACAATGGGTTCAACCTCACTAGGTGTGAGGAAAATGCAAATCACAACAGAACAGCCCTGCACTTTCAGTGGAATTGCTATAATGAGTAAGACTGATGATACCAAGTACATGGGACAACTAGAAAAATCACACACTGCTGGCAGAGGTGTGAATTGGTGCAACCACTTTGGAAAACCACTAAAAGAAAACATCTTTTGATACTGAAACTTTTCATAGTACTAAAGGAAAACATCTGCCTATCCTATGATCTTGCAATTCCATTCCTAGATAGACATCTAACAGCAAGACATAGGTACGTATACCAAAAGACAAAGACTAGGGTATTTACTATGGTGCTAGTCATAACAACCCCAGTTGGAAGCAACCCAACTATGGATCAAGAGTAAGCTGGATGGCTACATTATGGTGTAGTCAGCCACGAAATATTAAACTAAAAAAATGAACTATCAGCACCAAGAAAGATGCACCTAGGTGTAAGGCAAGATTGCACGTATATAAAGTTCAAAAACAGGCAAAACTAATCTCTGGGGATAGAAGTCAGGATCATCAAGGAAAACGGACACAAAAGGGGCTTTTGGGGTACTGATAATGTTCTTGGTTTGGGTATTGGATGCAGGAGTGTATTTTCACATCAGTTTTTACTTATAATTTATGGATTTCTTTGTATGAAAGTTAGAGTTCAATTTAAAAAGTTTATTTAAAAGAAGTTGGTGCATCATTTGTCAAATTTTACTACAGTTAGGTGGTGCTTTGTACTAATTTTCCTCAACTCTTTCATTATCAAAACCAGATCCCCACCTAATATCTTCCAACTGTGATACTCTTGATAACAATGGTATTTCCATTTCTGGATGGTCGACACCTACAGCCGATTCCATTGCAGCTTCAGACTTTACATCACGCAAGGCCGTGATGCTGACGCCAAGAGACTTGGAATTTCACACTCTGAAACAGGGATTTGAGATGACAGTTCCTATGGGGTGATGGTCATAGTTGGGTGAGCTTTCTCTGAGGAGTTTCGGGAAGCCTGTGGTTGAAGCCAATGCTGGCCTTTGTCAATAGCTAACTCTTGGCATTCATTTTGGGGTCTTCTAAAACCTGCCTGAATTTTGTTGAAATTAAATACTTGAAATCTTTGGGATGAAGTTTCTTGACAATGGATGAAATGACAAATATGTTATGCATCATTATTCTCTTTTCTAAAAATTCAACTTTAAAATCTGAGTTATGAGAGCATTTTCTTTTTTTTTTTTTTTTTTCAAAATAAATAAGCAAATAAATAAATAAAAATAAGGCTGGGCGTGGTAGCTCACGCCCATAATCCCAGCACTTTGGGAGGCCAAGGCGGGTGGATCACGAGGTCAGGAGATTGAGACCATCCTGGCCAACATGGTGAAACCCCATCTTTATTTTTTATTTATTTATTTTTTTATTTTGAGATGGAGTTTCGCTCATGTTACCCAGGCTGGAGTGCAATGGCGCGATCTCGGCTCACCGCAACCTCCGCCTCCTGGGCTCAGGCAATTCTCCTGCCTCAGCCTCCTAAGTAGCTGGGATTACAGGCACGCACCACCATGCCCAGCTAACTTTTTGTATTTTTAGTACAGACGGGGTTTCACCTTGTTGACGAGGATGGTCTCGATCTCTCGACCTCGTGATCCACCCGCCTCGGCCTCCCAAAGTGCTGGGATTACAGGCTTGAGCCACCGCGCCCGGCCCGAGAGCATTTTCTTTAAATCAATGTTTCTCATCCTTATTTTAACTCATTATTGTCCCCTTAAGGAGCCTTTTAAACATTCTCCAAATCTCTCTTCCCATGAAGTTTCAATACCACAGACATACTGCAAATGTTTAAGGACTGTGCGTAAGTCTGTGCTTTATCACATAAGAGTAGTCTCCCTACCGAGCCACCTTTTGCTTCGTGAGTGGTATTATCCCCTTGAAAATGAATGTCATTCTACATATGGAATTTGGTACATACAGAATTTGGTACAGACTGGTATTTGACTCAATCATTTTTTTTTTTTTAGATGGAGTCTTGCTCTGTCACCCAGGATGGAGTGCAGTGGCGTGATCTCGGCTCACTGCAATCTCTACCTCCCTGGTTCAAGCAATTCCCCTGCCTCAGCCTCCCAAGTAGCTGGGGCTACAGGCACATATCACCACGTCTGGCCAATTTTTAAATATTTTTAGTAGAGATTGGGTTTCAGCATGTTGGACAGATTGGTCTAAACTTCCTGATCTCGGGCAATCCACCTGCCTCGGCCTCCCAAAGTGTTCGGATTATGGGGAGGGGAGGAGGTTGCTGAGGAATGTGATCACTGTGCAGATGAGATTCCTGAGTTCAGAGGGATGCAGTGGCCTTCTAGTACCTCTAGTGACCTCCCACCGTGTGGACAAACTGGGTTTGACTAAAGCCCAGTCCCTTGGGTGCCTGTTCCTTCGTAGTGGCAAAGGGCTACATGATTCAGGTAAAATCCCACCCTTGTGGGCACTGCAGGACTTCCATGTTCAGCTTCTTGCAACAGAATTTTGATAAGCGTAAACAACGCTTTAGAAAGCACGATATCCATTTTTAGGATCTGGAAATTGAACAGGACTTTCATTCTTTTTGGGGTGAAGTAATACACAAAAATAAGTGTTCTTTCTCCTCCTAGTATCTTGGGTCTTTTTGTATCATACTGTTCTTGGGTGACCTTGGTTATTTTAGAGGTTCTGAATGTCTGAGTAGGAGAGGGGAACTGAAACCTTAATGGAAAGACAAAGAACTGGGAAGAGTTCAGCAAGCTCACACCTCTCATGGATTGTTCCCATCTACAAAGCCAGTCACACAGCCAAATTCTTTCATTAAAGAAAAGACTGTTTCAAAGATACAAAAAAAAAAAATCCTTTGGGATTTTCACCTTAAAAGCGTCCTCATCTGGGAGTGTTGTCAATAACAGCAATTCCTCCTAGACTTGCAGAAAAGATCAGGATGATGCAGTTTTAAGCACAATGCATTGTGAATGGTGAGTAACCAACCACAAGCCATCATTACCATTATTATTATTATTATTATTATTATTATTATTGGTACCCAATGCCAAAGGAGGACGGCAGTGGAGGAGACCTCCCTAGGGCCTGGACAAAGGTGTAAAGTAACAGCAGCTTGTCTTTGATTCTCTTCGAATTCTCTTTGACCCTCACCTGATTCCCTTCCAATGTCAATAGCTCACTCGGGCCTGCTTGCTCTTAAAATAGTAACTGGATACAACGTTCTTTCTCTCTTCATCTCCATGCTCTGATGTTTTTGATTTAAGCACTTGACAGTCAGGTCTGAATTACTAATAGGTTTAATCTTAAGATATTTGAATCTTAAGAGGGGGAAAAAAGAAGGGCTACGTATGAGGGAATGCTTAGGCTACATGTAGAAAATAGAAGTTTCTACAGATCATGTGATTGTAAGTTGAATGACTTAATCACAGATAATTTTTCCTCATTAAAAAAATGGTTTTGCATGTTTTTCTAGAGTCAAATGCAAATATTACTTTCTCCTGAAAAGTAAAATGAAGAAAAGATCTTTGCATTTTTATGTTTCCCAGAAAAATTGGGAATGTATATCTAGAAATTTTCTTTATTACATAATTAAAATTAACCATTAATGTCTTGCTGCAAATTCAGTCTCAGAAATTGTCAGAATTCACTCCCTTCTGTCCCTCAAAGTTGGGCTCAAACTTTGAAAACACCTTCCTTCTACGTAGTTGCTGGTCACCAAGGCCTTTCACTGCCTTCTGAAACACTCAGTCTGCTGTCAGAGCTATTCATTGCCTCCAAATGCCCCTTCAATACCAGTGTCCAGCTGTTCTTTCTTGCATTTCAGCCTCACTGCATCAGCAGCCCACTCTGAAGCACTCCGTTGTCTATCTGCTGTGTCAAGCAAGGTCTTTTCTGCCCAGCTTCAAGTCCCCTTAGACACTGGCTCTACTTGATTCTATCTTCTACTTTTTTCTTAAAAATTAATCAGATTCAGCCAGGCGCGGTGGCTCAAGCCTGTAATCCCAGCACTTTGGGAGGCCGAGGCGGGTGGATCACGAGGTCAAGAGATCGAGACCATCCTGGTCAACATGGTGAAACCCCATCTCTACTAAAAATACAAAAAATTAGCTGGGCATGGTGGCACGTGCCTGTAATCCCAGCTCCTCAGGAGGCTGAGGCAGGAGAATTGCCTGAACCCAGGAGGCGGAGGTTGCGGTGAGCCGAGATCGCGCCATTGCACTCCAGCCTGGGTAACAAGAGCGAAACTCCGTCTCAAAAAAAAAAAAAAAAAAAAAAAAAAAAAAAAAAAAATTAGATTCTTTGTTTAGGCAACTTTTCTCACCTTCCAATGAAGAGGTACTGCTTACTCTACTCCTTCGTCTGTACTAGTACTCACAGCATTCCCCTGTGCCTGGAAAGGCCCTTCTCGAGCCTTTCACAAACAAAGATCCTGCCTTTTCCACCAAGCTTTCCTTGCCCATTCGAGTTTTCATGCCCATCTTTCTCTTCTTTTACCTGTTTATGCCAGGTCTCGCACTTCTTATGCTTTTCTCAGAGCATCTAGTACTGCTTTTGTGTTGTAATAGGAGGCAAATCTGGATGAGTAACTGTGAAAGGGCATTTCTAACTTATAAAAGTTCAGAACCTATTTTGGAGGACACAAACTGGACTGGAGTACTGCCTATTCTCAGCATGTGGACTTCAGACACTGTATGATAAGCTCTGATAAAAAAGAAAATACCCACCAAGCACAAATAAATGACAGTAATTGAATTTTGGTAACGTATAGTTCCTCATAAAAAAACCACAGGACACCCCGCGTTATGAGGATAGCATGGGCCCCGCCGTACTTGAATGGTGCAGGCAGGATGGTCTGGTAGTTGTAGTGCTGCTTCTGCTGACTCAGGATCTGCAGCTGTAGGAAGAGCTGCTGCTGCTGCAGCAGGCGGGCATAGTTGGAGTCCATCTGCGGCTCATTCTTCTCACCCTTCTGATCTGGTGGAATGTATTGGTGGTACTTTAACTTCTTCACCCGTGGTTTGGGATCTTTGCACTTTTTGCTACGGTGTTTGTCATTTGAATTTTTGGGATGGCTTTGCTATTTTTGAGAAAAAAAGAAAATAACATTTTAAAAGATGTCATCACATGAAATCTACTGTATTCTGTGCCTAAAAAATGATTTGAAATTAAAAAAGAAATGTACCTTACATACAAGTACGGTCACTTGGGAAAAAAATACGCTACATTCATTTCAAAAGCCATGAAAATGTTTGCATACTAATTCTGACCAAGAAATTTTCTCCTGCTACACTGTTCCCTCAGGGTTTGGGTAAGATACTGAGCGTGAGCTATTCAAACTCAATGCACACTGACCTTGGGTCTCCAGTGTGAACACCCTACCCAAGTAATAATATACACATATAATCTCCTAGTGAAAAACAGGCTGCATGATAAATATACAGTAGAGAAATGATTAAGTACACTTCTTCAAAACCATGTAATAGCTAAAAACTCAGTGGAAAATACGTGGGGAAAAAAAAAGCTTCCAATGAGAAGAAAACAGAATATAAACTATTTCTAAAGAATATAATACAAAAACTATTGAGTGAATTTTTTTCAAAAACAGTACATTTTTACTTTGAAACTGGGATGTGAGACCATGTTTCTCTCAAGATTAGCAATCAGATGATGTTTTCCTGAGTTTTTGTCATCTTCTCAGTTTGTAATTTATCAGATCACTTTATACTTTTCATTATTCAGATTCTAAGATAACTTCATCTGACAAAACCCATCCAAACAAACAAAAAACAAAATACAGGAAAGTAGGGCTTCTTTAGGGAATATATCCAACTTAATAAAAAGACTTGAGAAGTACTCAATTAAATGGAGCTATTGATAAGATCACATTATCTATATTCATATTCAAAGAATTAGGACACTGCCACCAAAGATAGGAAGAAAACAAAACTCGCTGCATTCTATAGGTTAGGAATAGTCTAATTCCTAATGTTAGGCTATTCTAGTATTCATACAGTGTGACTATTAACATTCCTTTATACATCCTTCCTTCTTTTATGTTTTAATATAACTGAGATGATACCATCCATCTATGCTTATTAGAAATGTGCCTTTCTCTCTCTTCACTTGATATGTCATGAATTCTTAAATCCCTCGTATAAAAGAATGATTCTGCAACAATATTTTTATGGCCGTTTTTACATAACAATTTACAGACATAGCCAGTGAGGTGCTGGAGCCACCTCTTAAGAGAGACAACAGTGCATCTTCTCCCAACTCTGCATTCAGCAATATCACATTGGTAGCCTGAAAATGGTCACTGTGGGAATATTTACACCATGGGAACTGGCAAAGGCTATAATCTGTCCTCTGAGCCCAGCCACTTACTAAACATTTACCCACATACTACTGGATATAATATAATCCAATTAATTAGTATCCTATTTTTAAGCACTGGCAAATAAGAATTTGTAAAAAGTAATTATGTATTGGAAATGATATATTCTTGTTAATCTCATCTCATGCCTTCAGACTTGACCATCAGGACCTGGCCTCCTCCTAGTTCTTAATGACTCCTATGACACACCTGAGACTCCCACTGCTCCTTACTTTCTTCAACATTACTTCAGTCACTATTCATGGTGATTTTAATACCCACACCTACAATCCTTCTAACATTCTGCTCTCTCAGTTCTTTGACTTCATTACTTCTAGATATCTCATCTCCTCTCTCTGCGAGTCACTGTGTGATTATAGCCTAGATCTCATCATTATCTAAACCTCACTTCCCAGCACTCTGGTATCTGATACCCACCAGGCGTTCTGTCATTTCGCTCCATCCAGGATGCCAACTATAACAATTATTTGATGCCACTGAGACCTACAATCCCTTTCTGTTCCACCCTTCATATGTTCCTCACTTACCTCCTTACCCAGCTATATCCCACGGTCCCCTCACTTGCACAGTCCCCTCTTTGTCATACACACCTGGCAAAACACTTATTAATTCTCTGTCTCCTTTTGTTTCTTGACAATGGCTCTACTGATGTTTTGAGCTAGGTAACTGTGTTGTGGGAGTCCATCCAGTGCACTGTTTGATATTTAACAACATCCTTGGCCACTACCCATTAGATACCCCTAGGAACCAGAAACGTCTCCAAGCATTGCCAAATGTCTGCAGTGGGAGACAAACTTACCCTGCTGAGAACCAGTGATCCGCTTCATGCCTGTACTCATATAACTGAAAGTGGCTACAGGAAAAACATAAAACCATGCTGACAAGTCTTACTTTAAGCTCATGACCACCTACTTCAAGGGCTCATCAGTGCTACCTGGCCAACCTGTTACATTTCCTTTAATTTTCCTACCCTTCTAGAATATTGCCTTATATCTTCTCTTCTCTCCCCAAAACTTTAATATTCCCCGAACCCCATTCTCACTGTCAACTGAGGTCTCATTGCCTGAACACTGAGAATATGTAAGTGATCAGCACAGAGCTTATGCACATTGTGAATGCCTGCCCCTGCTGGGACTCTGAGCGCTTTCCTTCCTGCTGGTGTTGCTGTCTCAGGCTGGCCCTTCCCTCAACTGGATTCTGTGTTCCCTTGGTGACACCTGGCTGTGGTTCCCTGCTCTTCTCCTGGATCACTCCCATGGGATCACAAACAGCTTCCCTGACCCTACTTTGCAGTGAAGCTACAGACGCATTTCTTTGTGCTCTCAAGAAAAGCTTTCTGTAACACCATCTCCAGCCCTGACTTTCAGGCTTTCTTGTGACCACCCATACCAAGTTTTCAGAAACTGTTCTTGTCAAGGTTGCTGTGCTTCAACGCAGCTAAACCAAGGCCAGTTCGCAGCACTCATCTTAACTGAGGCACAGCAGCCTTTGATACAGTTGCTCTCTCTCTTGTCCTTGAAATGTGCTGGCTTCAGAGCCACCTTGCCTCACTCTTGCTGGTTGTTTTTGCCGAGTCTCCTTTGCTGGTTCTTCCTCTCTCTCTCAAATGTTGGTGGTTCCCAAGGACTCATTTCGTGCATAGCTTTTCATCGGTACTTAGACCCTAGGTAATTTTACTGGGTTTCATGACTTTAAATGCCATTTAAACACTGACAACCTCTTGGCTAAGGTCTGCACTCACCTATCCAGCTGCCTCTAAGCCATCTCGACTAGTTGCCCATGCAGCACCTCACACTTCGGGTGTACTCCTTTCCATTTCAGGCATGGCAACTACAAGCTGCTAGTTGCGCAGACGCAAAACAGTAGATGGTTCATGACTCCTTCTTAACACCACGTATCCAACTTGTCCGCAAATCCTGCCAGCTTAGCCTTCAAATGCAGCCAGAATCCAACCACTTCTGTTATCTTGCTAGTTGCCACTGTCTCCTGCTGTACATTTTACCTGTCTCTGCTTCTACCTTTGCACCCTACTGTTTCTAATACATTTGCTCAAAATATTCCAGCAGGTTTTTCCCTTAGTGGTAATACAAAGCCTAACTTCTGCTTTTTTTTTTCTTTGAGACAGTCTTGTACTGTCACCCAAGCTGGAGTACAGTGGTGTGATCTCAGCTCACCGTAACGTCTGCTTCCTGGGTTCAAACGATTCTCCTGCCTCAGCCTCCTGAGTAGCTGGAATTAGAGGCGTCCACCATCAAACCCAGCTAACTTTGTGCATTTTTAGTAGAGATGGGGTTTCACCATGTTGTCCAGGCTGGTCTCAAACTTCTGACTTCGTGATTCACCCACCTTTGCCTCCCAAAGTGCTGGGATTATAGGCGTGAGCCACCGCACCGGGCCAAAGCCTAACTTCTTACAAGGCGCTACAGATGCTGGTCTCTGGCCACAACCTGGCTGCATAGTTTACTTTTTACCCCTCTGCTATTGCTGTTGAAGTCATATTGGCTTCCTTGTTCAGAGACTTCAGATTTTCTTCCCACAGATATCTTAATGGCTCTCACCCTCACTTCTCAAGTGTCATCTGCATATCTCCAGACCACCTCATTTAAATGACACACCTCTCCTTGTCCCCCCAGCATCCCTGTCCTCACATTATTCATCAGCAGGCACACAATCTACTTGGTTGTGTTTTTCTAAGGGTGGGGATTTGTGATGTTTTGTTCCTTGCTTTATCTATTCCTAGTACCCAGAACAGTGCCCGGTACATAGAAGGTGCTTGAATAAGTATCAGTTGAACAAATGCACCATGAATGTGTATGCTAATTGGAAATCAGTTTAATTATCAGGCACTCTAGGTATATATCTCAATGTCAAAAAACACTTTCACCTACTTATTCCTTCAGTCTCACAATAGTAATCATTTCACTATTTACCTGCTTATTTCATTATAAACATTACATTTTATTTATTTGCTTATGAGACAGGGTCTCACTCTGTCACCCAGGCTAGAGTGCAGTGGCATGATCTTGGTTAACTGCAGCCTTGACCTCCTGGGCTCAAGTGATCCTCGAACCTCAGCCCTCTGAGTAGCTGGGAGCACAGGTGTGCACCACCATGCCAATTAATTTTTGTGAACATTTTATACAGATGGGGTTTTGCCATGTTGCCCAGGCTGGTCTCAAACTCCTGCGCTCAAGTGGTCTGCCTGCCTTGGCCTCCCAAAGTGCTGGAATTACAGGTGTGTCACCGTGCCTGGCTATACATTTTAGTTTTAGTCCTTTAAAATTGATCTTAAGAATGAACTGGGTCTAGGATAATTTATACTTAAAATGGGCTTTGAGAATAATTGTTGTAGAGTGATAAAGTAATTGACCCAGCCACAGTCAGAAGGGCACCTGTAGAGGAGCACATAAACATAATGACCAGTGTTCCTCAGAAAAAATCTGCTATTACCTACCAGCCCCCACAAGTGAAGGATGGGAAACAGCTTTCCTTATAGAAACCTTGAAAGAATTCTGCTCTGTTTCCTAATGTGTTTCTGTTTCCTCCTCTTGGCATAGTCCTAGAAGTCCCTTACCAACCCCTGAATTTCACATTCTTCAACAATGCTGCTTCCTTTAGAACCAAAGCGCTCCTTAAAGACATCAGTGAGGAGCAGACATTCAGAGACTGGGAAGGGCAGAGAACACGTTTTCAAGATCAGCAGGGAAGGACGGCTGGGCATGCAGACCCTCTCTGTGCCATCGGGGTTGCATGCATGGGTATACTGGGAGAGGAAGTAAAAACTGATTTCCCTGGCAGGGTTACCTGCCACTTGCCACCCTATGGAATTTCTGGCCCCAATGCTACACCATGGAAGATGGGGAAATACACTAACGTATGTCCTGAAGCTACCAACACTCAGTCATGCTTACAAGAGCCTTCTCTCCCGGAAGGTCAAGGACAGTCCCAGGGATAGAGGGCTGTGAGAAAAATGCATCAATGCATCATGGTCATCTCAAAGATGCTCCCTTGTCTCAGGAGAGTGCTGCAACAGGTGGGGGAGGCAGGAGAGAGCTACACTTGGATTTGGGGGGCCCTTCCTAGCTCTGTCATTTCTTCTGTGGGCCTCAGTCTCCCCATCTGAAAGGTGGTGAAAAGGTAGCTAACTTACAGTATCATCTTTTAGTGTAAAAAAATTGAGATCTCTATTCTGCTAGACTATTTCTCACCTTACTCTCCTCACCCACCTTATTTAGAAGTTTTAAAAATAATTTTGAAAAGTTAAAATCTGTTTTTCTTATGTTTCATCTTAGTGGCCTGGGTGGCAGAACTGGGGCTTTCTGCATAGTCCAGTAGTTTGTTTTGTTTTTTAAAGACACAGGATCTTGCTCTGTCACCCAGACTAGGGTACAATGGTGTGATCATAGCTCACTGCAGCCTCAAACTCCCGGGCTCAAGTGATCCCCCTGCCTTGGCCTCCTCATAGCTGAGACTACAGGCATGTACCACTACCTCTGTCTAACTTTTTAAATTTTTTGTGGATATAATGTCTTGCTATGTTGTTCAGGTTGTTCTCAAACTCCTGGCCTCAAGTGATCCTCCCACCTGAGCCTTACAAAGCACTGGGATTCCAGAGGCAAACTACTGCATCCAGCCCCTAGTGTTTTAAATAGACCAAATTTTGTGCCATTTTTCTGAGACTATAGCACAACTGTAAACATGAAGACTCCAGTCTAGCAAGTCTTGGCATGGTTTAGTTTTCAAGACTTTGGGCTAAAAGTCAGGCTGAGCAACTTAGGTAAATGTCTTTGTCTTCTGTTTACAGGGGTATAGACAGTCACAAATAAAGCCACCTAACCCCCAGGGTGCGTCCAAAGTACCCACCTTCACCAGTGCTGGGCCAGGCTTTGCTGAGGACACAGTGTTTGTGGGGAGGACAGTAGCTGCAGGCCGTGAGGGAGGCTGATCTACAGTTGGAGGAGTTTTCAAGAATTCAGGAACTGCTGGGGACACTGAAGCAAACTGGTAGAAAAGGCAAAAATGTACAAGTCTGTGAAATTAATGATCATTAAAACCAGAAAAATCGCAATTAAAAGGGAATGACCTCGTTTTTGAGTCCATTAGAAAAGAATCAAAGGAAAAATATATGATTTCGTCTGAGGCCCAGCTGGTGGAATAACATGCTTTGCCTCAGTGGAGCAATCATTTAGTCTTTGCTCCAAGAGCAGTGAATAACTATAGGCAAGTAAGGTTAGACTGACTACGCTAGAGTATTTACTCAGAAAGATGGTCAGAACCATTCATTTTTGACAGGGAAAGAAAAGTCCAAGACACTTGTACGTCTGATCAAAACAATACATGGTAGTCATAAAGTCCGCTTGCTACATAGGTTATGCGAACCCTGGCTGATGCAAACGTAACCTTCAGGCTTCCCTGCAGAGCCTAGTGAATCCCTGTATCACACTCGACCCACCCTCCGGCAGCATCCCTTCCTAAATGCCCATGCACCCATGTTATCTGTAAATGTGCTCTACACCCTCTGTTCCTCTCTCCAAATCTGACCAGAACTGTCATTAATCATATTTCCCCATTTCTTGCAATAGAAGATTTAAAGAATATATTTTGGTAAGATTGACCTGTTTCACTGACAGCATTCTCTCACTTAAAAGAAGAAGCTACTTTGTTACCCAGGCCAAAATCAACAGTTACTGAATCTCAGTTTGGGGTCACATATTATTAACGAGGCTTTACTAACTAGGTTTTATGAATGCTCATTAGCAATCTACATTACATAGATCTTAAGTATTCATTTATTGTAACGAACAATTACTATTGTAATAAGCCAGTCAAATTTTGCATATTGATTACTACTTGTACTTACTATACCAGCCTTATCTTAAGGAAAACTGTCCTCTTCTGTCACTTCGACTTCCCTGAACAACTCTCAAATTCATTACACCAGCAATCAAAATCAGTTCTCTTGTTAAAGTATTTGCATTTGAAAATAGCAAACTGTGTTTTTCTTCCTTAAAATAAATGACCTGGAAACTCAGAGGGCTATTAGCAGCAATAAATATGAAGCTTGGCACATACTAGTTAACTCAAATATTTGTTTAATTGATGAATGGTCATTCCTTCTGGCTTTACTCAGTCTAGGTCACGTTCTCAAGCCCAGCTGAGATTGTGTGTGCGCGAGCACGCAATTCGTCGTGCGTGCCCATGTCAGCTCTCTCCCTGAGGTTTCAGCCGCTGATTTCAGGTTTTCAGTTGTTAGTAACTGTCAGTGTTGACAATATGAAAAAACTTACTTTGGAAGATGGCTGCCTTCAATTTCATTTTTAAACAGAAACGAGGGAAAGGGCTCGTCTAAGAGACTGGACACCTGTGTTCCAGCAGACTTCTGCCCCCAAAGAGTTTTGAGACATCGGGCTCCTCAGTGAATCTCTCAACAACCAAACCTCACACATAAAGTGAAAGATAACGTTAGCTGATAATTTCTTTACTGAATACAACTTTATGTGATTTATTTTCCTTTCACCTTGCATATTTTTTTGAAATGGAGATACTTATCTCTGGGTCAACTTTTACAGAGGGGCAAACATTCCTTGGCTATTATGTAACTGTTATATGAAGTAGACTCAAATGCTTGAATTCTGAACTCTATATAGATTTCCTTGCACATACGTCCTACTCACCTGGCAAGCTATTTTACCAGTCCAGCCCTCACTGACTGATGATGAATTTGAGAGCAGTAAGTCCTCATCATACGAAAAATAACTCAGGAACATGGATGTGGTATCAAATCTAAGATTTATAAAAAAAAAAGTCTTGCCTATATTACTAGACTGTGCCTAACAGACTGTAGCCTTGATTACTGATATGCCTATCTTACTAGCTTTTTTGGTATTTTAGTGTGACTTTGCTACCAAGAAAACCACAGATTCTGGCATAACACAAGAATAACCCAAATGAAATACAGGGATTGTTGACTCTACCTAATCTGAAGATAAGATATATCAAAACTTCTAATCTTGCCAGCCATTTTAATGTGCCTTAGAAAGGACCAAAACATAACAAAAGCCCCTCGCTTCCCCTACCAAACCCCATTTGGACTGTATCAAGGGGTCAGGTGGCTACAGTTACCAAAAGAAAAAGTGACAGTATTCCAAAAAGCGTTAAAAGAGTATCCAGGCCTGGAGCTGGGGGCCATTGTAGCAAATTAATGCAGGGACAGAAAACCAAATACCCTATGTTCTCACAAGTGGGAGCTAAATGATGAGAACACATCGACACATAGTGGGGAACAACACACAATGGAGCCTTCTTGAGGGTAGAAGGTGGGAGGAGAGAGAGGAGCGGAAAAAATTACTATTTGAGTATTAGGCTTGTACCTGGGTGACAAAACAATGTCTACATCAAACCCCTGTGACACACAATATACAAATATAACAAACCTGCATACCTGTAAACCTAAAATAAAAGTTAAGGCCAGGTGCGGTGGCTCACGCCTATAGTCCCAGGACTTTGGGAGGCTGAGGCAGGTGGATCATGAGGTCAAGAGATCGAGACCATCCTGGTCAAAACGGTGAAACCCTGTCTCAACTAAAAATACAAAAAAAATACAAAAAAAAAAAAAAAATTGGCATGGTGGCGCAAGCCTGGAGTCCCAACTACTCGGGAGGCTGAGGCAGGAGAATTGCTTGAACCCAGGAGGCGGAGGTTGCGGTGAGCCGAGATCGCACCATTGCACTCCAGCCTAGGTAACAAAAGTGAAAACTCCGTCTCAAAAAAAAAAAAAAAAAAAAAAAAAAAAAAGTTAAAAAAAGCATCCAGGCCGTAAGAGATACTTAAACTTATTTTGTTCCATATAAATTCAACAATATGTCAAAATTTTAAAAGATACTTTTAAGATTTAAAATGTAAATAGGTTTAAATTGCCACCAAGACCTATGTTGACGTGCTGTTCTACAAAAATTTAATTTCAAAATGATTCTGAATCATTTCCCCAAAGAAACAAAAAAAGCTGCAAACTTTGCTGTGTCTTATTGGATCCGACCAATGTTTCCAGTACAGGCTACAGGTCACATGAGGGCCAGATCTTTAATTTTCTTTTTTTCTTTTCTTTTAAAAAAAAAAAAAATTTTTTTTTTTCTTTTTCAAGATGGGGTTTCACCATGATGGCCAGGCTGGTCTTGAACTCTTGACCTCAGGTGATCCACCCACCTCGGCCTCCCAAAGTGCTAGGATTACAGGCGTGAGCCACCGTGCCCAGCCTGGATCTTTAATTTTCATGAGAAAACCATAAAACAAAATGTCAGAAAATGTTTTTTAATGATGGATATTTATGCTTAAAAAAAACAAACTAACTAAAAAGGCACTTGTGATCATAAAGACTGAGTTTTCTCCTACTAGAAATGGTGACAGGAAAGCTTTGCTACAATAGAAAAAAACAGAAGTCAAAGCAAAGCTCTGAGCTGATCAAAGCTCTATCCTGTTTCAGGTGTTTGCACTGTTCCTGCTGCAGAAGACGGTGCAAATGCCAAGGGCCAGTCACTGCTCCCAGACTGTTCCTCTTTATTAGAATTTCTTTATGCAGCCTTGAGGGACAGAAACAAAGCTGTTTTGTATTGTATATTTTAAGTCAATAATGTGTTTTTCATATAGGATGTAGCAGACTGCTTAACTAAGATGGCAATATGCAAATAAATTAAAAATGCAATTACTCTTTAAATATTGTTTTCATATTCTAATTCCCAAATAGAATGAAAGAGTTGAATAAAACAAAAATCATGCACTGCATGTTTAATAGATATTTTATGCAAAAGTCTAGCTTTGTTAAAATGTATCACCTTGCATTGACCATCTGTTCCTGTAATATATATTTAAGCATTTCATTCTTAGAATAAGTAACTGAACATTAAAAGTGAATTAGCCGGGCGCGGTGGCTCAAGCCTGTAATCCCAGCACTTTGGGAGGCCGAGGCGGCTGGATCACAAGGTCAAGAGATCGAGACCATCCTGGTCAACATGGTGAAACCCCGTCTCTACTAAAAATACAAAAAATTAGCTGGGCATGGTGGTGTGTGCCTGTAATCCCAGCTACTCAGGAGGCTGAGGCAGGAGAATTGCCTGAACCCAGGAGGCGGAGGTTGCGGTGAGCCGAGATCACGCCATTGCACTCCAGCCTGGGTAACAAGAGCGAAAACTCCGTCTCAAAAAAAAAAAAAAAAAAAAAAAAAAAAAGTGAATTAATTTCCTTGCATAGAATCTATTGGACATTGAGTGGGTACCTGATGACCTGATTGGTAGTGAGAATTTGCACGTATCTCTGCTTTAAAAGTGCATTAAAAAAAATTATAGTAAAATGTACATAACATAAAAGTTACTATTTAACCATTTTTAAGTATATGGCATTAAGTACATTTATATTGTTCTGCAACCATCACTGCTAGCACTTCCAGACTTACTCATGTTCCCAAGCAAAACTCTGTAAACATTAAACAATGTCTGCCTGGTCCCACATTCCCCTCACCCCTGGCAACCACCATTTTCTTTTCTGTCTTTATGAGTTTACCACTCAAAGAATGTTATGTAAGTGGAATCATACAGTATTTGTCTTTTTGTGACTGGCTTATTTCACTGAACATAATGCTTGAGTTTCATCCAGGTATTGCAGAATTTCCTTCCTTTTTAAAGGCTGAACACTATTCCACTGTACATCTGTAGCACATGTTGTTTATCCATTCATCTGGCAGTGGACATTTGGGTTGCTTTCACAATTTGGCTATTGTGAATAATGCTGCTATAAGCAGGGATAGACAAATATCTGTTCTAACTCCTGTTTTCAATTCTTTTGGGCATATACCCAGAAGTGGAACTGCTAGCTCATTTGGCAATTATGTTTTAATTTTTTTTTTTTTTTTTTTTTTTTTTTGTGACGGAGTTTCGCTCTTGTTACCCAGGCTGGAGTGCAATGGCACAATCTTGGCTCACCGCAACCTCCGCCTCCTGGGTTCAGGCAAT